TGTGTGTGTGTGTGTGTGTGTGTGTGTGTGTGGTGGGCAGAGACAGCCTGACGAGCCTTCCCCTGCGCAGGTTCCCCCAAGCGGCATCACTTCCAGCGGCAGCGGGCAGCCAGCGAGAGCATGGAGCAAGAGGGGGACACCCCCCATGCCGACTTCATCCAGTACATCGCCCGTGCAGGCGACGCAGTGGCCTTCCCGACCCCCCGCCCCTTTCTGGCCAGCCCCACCAGCCCGCCCCCCGCTCTCGGCAGGTATTTTTCAGTAGATAGAGGTGCTAGGGGTGGACCTGTGGGCCCCTGCCCCACTCTACCCGCCCTAGGCAACCCAGGGAGCACTCTCCCGACCCTGAGGACACGAGTTCGCCTCCCTCCAGCAGCAAGGCCCCTCCCAGAGGCTGATTCTCTGGGGCCACCTCTCCAGCATGGACTGGGTAAGGGTAGGGGGGTGGGTGAGGGCCCCAAAGATGGCTCCAGGTTCCCTAAGACAGGACACCTGCTCAGGCAGTGCCGCCGGGGGTATATGCCCAGCCTGGTACTGCCGCTTCCTGGTGGAGTCCCAGGCTTGAAGGGCTCTGCCGTGGTGCCAGGCCCTCTCCCACCTACTCCTGAGGGCTGGGCAGTCCTTTCTCAAAAACTGTTGTGACTGTCTGTGCCCACTCCCCCAACTCCCAGGGCCCACGTTAGTGGGATGAGGGACGGAACCCAGGGAGCAGAGCAGGGTTCCTTGGGCAGCTGCTAGTCTGGGTGGATAGTCCTTCCTTTTGTGTGTCACCCTCCTGTTCCTTATGCATGGTGGGCGGGTGAAGAGCCCTACCTGCCCTGGAGTAGAGGCTGAGCTGGACCCAACCTGGTCCACTGAAAGGCTGGGGAGAAGGAGACCCACAAGAGAGGAGTGTTACCTCCTCCAGGGGGCCCCTTCCCAGAAAGGCCGGGCACCTGCAGTTTCCCCAGGTGCTTGGATCAGACTTCAAGGGACACCCTAGTTGAAAAGCAGGCGCCAGGGCTCAGCGCTAATCCAAAAAGCATGCCCTGCAAAATGGATAGACCCCATTTTAAAGCCCTCGTCTCCTGGGTCCTGGCCAAGTCCTAAGGGTCCCAGCAGAGGGGTGGCCGACCGGAAAGGGGGCGCGGGGCTCTGCGGGGCTCTGACAGCCACGGCCTGGCTTGCAGGCTAGAGGCAGCTGAGTCAGCGGGAGAAGCGAGCCCCGAATCCCCCCCGGAGCGCGGCGGCGGCGCAGGGCCTGAGCACCACCAGCAGCAGCCGGAGCCAGAGCTGGAAGCCGAGCGGGACTCGGGCCCTGAGCAGGCCCAGACCAGCTACCGCGACCTGTGGAGCCTTCGTGCCTCGCTCGAGCTGCACGCGGCCGCCTCGGACCACAGCAGCAGCGGCAACGACCGCGACTCGGTGCGCAGCGGCGACAGCTCGGGCTCAGGTTCCGGGGGCGCGGCGCCCGCCTTCCCGCCGCCGTCGCCGCCCGCGCCGCGGCCCAAGGATGGCGAGGCGCGCCGGCTGCTGCAGATGGACAGCGGCTACGCCAGCATCGAGGGCCGCGGCGCGGGCGACGACGTCGAGCCGCCCGCCATGCCCACCCGGCCCCGCAGCCCGCGCGCCTGGCCCCGCCGTCCGCGCCGCGACTATAGCATTGACGAGAAGACTGACGCGCTCTTCCACGAGTTCCTGCGCCACGACCCGCACTTCGACGACGCGCCGCCCTCCGCCGCGCGCCACCGCGCACGTGCTCACCCGCACCCACGCAAGCAGTGGCAGCGCGGCCGGCAGCACAGCGACCCAGGCGCGCGCGCGGCCCCGGCCCTGGCCGGCGCCCCGACCCCCGCCGTAGCCCGCCCCGCGCGTGCGCCTTTGCGCCGTGGCGACAGTGTGGACGGCCCGCCCGATGGCCGTGCGCTGGGCAGCGCCGGCGACGACCCCGCCATCCCCGTCATCGAGGAGGAGCCCGGCGGGGGCTGCCCCGGCTCGGGCCTATGCGTCGAGCCCCCGGGGGCGCTGCTGGACAAGCTGGCGGCCGGCCTCGAGGAGAGGCTGTTCCCGCTCCGCCTCGCCGAACCCGTCGTCGCCGCGGCCCCCGCGCTGGTCGCCGCCGCCCCCACGTCTCCCGACCACAGCCCGGCCTAAGCCCTGCGCCCCACGCCCACATCTTGGCAGCTTCTCTGGTGCCGCGCGGGGACTCAGCGGCGGGAGACACGCGGGGACGCGACGCCCGGCACGCATGCGCCGGGACCCCGGGCCCTTGGCGCACGCGCTCAGCTGCGGACGCGCCCTCACCGCCCTAGAGCGCCCGCGCGCAGCTCGCGCCGGCCCCCGAACGCACGCGCACGGTTAGGGCCCCCTCGCGCCCTGGAGGGGCGCAGGCCCCTGCGGGCGCTTCGCCAGGTACCCGAGGCGCGGGGGCCCCGGCTGGGAAGGAAGGACAGTGACAGGTCCTCACTCTGGGTGGAGGCACTGGTCTCTCGGTCGCGTGCGTGGGGCCTGCAGCCCGCCCCCGCAAGGACGTGAGGCGCATGCGCAAGCCCCGGGCCTGGCACCGTAGGCTGCTGCGGGTCGGAGAGGAGCCTGCCGCCCTGAAGCCGTTTACCTCACCGCGGCGTGTGCTCGCGGCAGCCCGCGCCCCTCCGAGCAATAACAGCGCCCGTCGCCGCCGCCTCAGCCCTGGACGCCGCTCCTCCCACCGCCTGGCCCCCTGGCCCTGTGTCTGTCGTGCCCCGCCGCTTCGCATGCGCTCGGTGCCTCCCTGTCGCCGCAGGAGCCGCCGGCACTCCTCAGTGTTTGAGACGCAAACAAAATCCGAAGGCCAAGGCGTCAAGTTTCCCAAGCTTTATTTATTGCCAAAAAAGGGGTGAGCCCTCGCCTGCGTCGCCCGTCCCGCCCTCGACGCTTCGTTCCCAGTCTGTACCATCCGGTGATGGAGTTTCTCGTTGTTTTTGTTTTCTGGTTGATTATAAATATTTACTGCATACTCTCGCTCCGGGTTTTCTCTGGGGACCCAAGAGCCCCTGGCCTTGGGGAAGAAAGGGCCCGGGGTTCGGCTGCAAGGCCCCAGGAAGGAGGCCGGAGACCTAGCTGTGCCTGCCGGCCCTGGCCCAGGTCCACCGTCCGCTAGCAGGACCCGCACACTCTCTGCCGGAGGCACCGGGCCAGCCCGTGCGTGGGGAACAAGGGTCCCCCACCTGACTGCCCCTTGTGCCACCCGACAAGTCCCAAACACCCCTCACGACCACAGCTCAAATCCACCTGTTTTATTTTTTCTTAAAAAAAAAAAAAAATGGAACCAACCAAACAACAAAAACAAGGCAGCCACTTGGCTCCGTCTGGGCGGTTCTGCATGCATGGCGGTGACAGGAGGCCCCACACCGGCTTCTCTGTGGCTGTGGTCACTAGGTGTAGCGCCCTAGCGGTAGCAGTGAGACAGACCAGGGAGGGGCGGCGGAGGGCCAGTAGTCTAAACATAAAGTGCTTTGCGAAGGCCGGGCCTCTCCCTCCCCGCCCAAGAGGCTCTGCACAAGATTGCAAAGTCCACTGTCCACGGCCGTCGAGCAGTGCTGTGTGCAGACGGCGGAGGGGAGGGCTGGCCCGGTCCCTGCTGCTCCCCGATCTGGCCCTCCAGGAGGCTCCTGGTCCTGAGGAGCCGTGGGCACAGAGGCGTGGCGGCCTTCTCAGGCGGGCAGCGGCCGGAGTTGGCAGGCAGGAAGACTGAGGTGCCGGCCCGGGCACCGGTGGGGGCTCCTGGAGACAGGCTGCAGGCAGGAAGGAGGGTGGGGGTGGGTCACTCCAGGCATTCAGACCTCCCCATCTGAGAGGTGGGCCTTACCTACGGGCCTGCTGGCAGGGTGGGGAAACTGAGGTCCATATGGGGGGGGTGTGCCAGACTCTTTTTTTTTTTTGAGACAGAGTCTCACTCTGTTGCCCTGGCTAGAGTGCCGTGGCGTCAGCCTAACTCACAGCAACCTCAAACTCCTGGGCTCAAGCGATCCTCCTGCCTCAGCCTCCCGAGTAGCTGAGACTACAGGCATGCGCCACCATGCCCGGCTAATTTTTTCTATATATTTTTAGTTGGCCGATTAATTTCTTTCTAATTTTAGTAGAGGCGGGGTCTCGCTCTTGCTCAGGCTGGTCTCGAACTCCTAAGCTCAAACAATCCGCCCACCTCGGCCTCCCAGAGAGCTAGGATTACAGGCGTGAGCCACCGCGCCCGGTGGGTGCCAGACTCTTGTGCCCTCACTGGGTGGGAGGCACCAGGGAAGGCCACCTTTGAGCTACTCCCGAGGAAATTACGCGCAGCCTTCTTGCAGCAGGGCCTGGGCCTCCCCCGAAGCAGTTTCCCACCAGGCCTGGCTGGTTCTGATGCAGGCAGATAAGCACTAGGGGGGCAGCTGTGTGACTCAGGCAGTGACCCCAGCAGCCTGGGAGAGGGGATGTGGCTGGGCGGGGCCCTCACCCCGCTGCCCATATACTCAGGAGGAGACAGGGTCTCCAACAGCCCTGGGGCCTGCCTGCCCCCCATGCCAGGCTGGGGCAGAGGAGGGAGGTCCCCAGGGAAGGCCCAGGCAGCATCCAGGGTGACTCAGCCTCAGCCAGACCCCAGCAGATGGCCTGCTCCCCAGGGCCTCCCCACCACCCACCCACGCAGCTGCCTCAAAGTCTCTGGGCGGAGTCCAGCACAACCCTTTCCTGGGAGCAGCCCGGGGTGTGGGGCGCGGGTGGCTGGGCAAAGCACAGGTGCTGCTGCGGCTGGGATGGGTCCCCTGGGAGGCAGGCAGCCCACAACACCTCCAGGCCAGCTGGGTAGCTGGTGTCCTGTGCAAAGTGACCTCCTCTCATCCCAGACACTGCCATAACATGGGCTGCATGAGGATGGACTTAACCCCAGCAGGGCCCCACCCCACGGCTACACGGGCCTCAGTGACTGACATGTCAGCCCAGACCAGGCACTGTGAACAGTGGAACTGGCTGTGGCCACAGTGTGACTTTGCCTCCGCCAGCGGTCGTTGGCTGACGGCAACCAGTGGTGTCCGCACAACCCCCACCGGCCAGGCCCCACTATGTCCCACCTGCAGGTGGCCACCCTCACTGCTGCTTGCAGGCCGACAGCCGACGGATCTTGCTGCTGGCAGAGCAGGCCTTCCGGGCAGGGTTGGAGGCCCCGGCCCGGCACTCGGCCTTGGGTTTGGTGCTCAGCTGTGCCGACTCCGTGCCATTCATGCACACGGCCTTGGGCAGGCCCCGGCTCTGTCCGTTCTGACCAGCCTCCTCTTCCGGGACCTGTCCTAGAAGAAAAATGGCAAGTGTGGCCTGAGTGGGGGGCACCTCCGAAGGACCCCTGGGCCAGGGCTGCCTGACCCCAGCATGGGGACTCACCCTACACCTGCCCAGGCCGTGCCTGCCCCCTGACAGGCCCAGGTCCTCTCCCACTTGAAATGCCACCTCTTGGTAGCTCTGGGAGGACCTAGGGGCTGCATCTCCCACCGGCGGCCTGCAGGAGTGATCCCCTCCGCCCAGACTGCTGCACCTGCAGTGGCCCCCAGTGGGGTTCCCGTCCAGGGAGAGGGAGGCTGGCCGGAGTGGGCCCCAGCCCACGCTCACCCACCTGTCCTGCACACCTGTGCATCCTGGGAAACAGGAGCCTCAGCACTCACCTGTGAGGACACAGGAGGGCCAGGCTCCGGCCCGGTGTGCGAAACGCCAGCACAGGCCAACTGGGGACGAGGAGCTCAGCCTGCCAGCGGCCCCTAGGCCCCAGACCCTGCAGGCTGCAAACCCGCACCCTGTCCAGAGAACGCTGTCCTCACAAGGGTTCTGAAGCTCGCAGGAGACGGACAGCCCACTTGCCCTGCCCCCCACCGGGAGCCCATACTGCTCAGTCAGGGGAACAGTCACCGACTCCATGTCGGCCTGCTGTGCCCCTCGCAGACCTCCTAGCAGCTCTCAAGAGCCCAACTCAGAGCCCTGCCCCCCACAAAGGGGCCAGTGCCTGACTCAGTGGCTTCCAGCACTTTCTGTAACCCACCCAGGTGCATGGGAAGCCACTGGCTTTAGAAAGACACTTTGGTAAGATGCCCCATCTCCACTCTCAGGCCTGGGCTCACGGCCACTGAGTCTCCACTGAAGCAAGTGTGGGGGCCCCCTGCCCCAATCTGATGGGGCCGCCCGGACAGATGAGGGTCCCAGCAGGTCTCCATCCCAGTGGGCAGAACCCTTGGGACCTGCCTGCACAAGGGTACCACTCCCTCATCCTGCCCCAGACCTCTGCCCCGCTGGTGGCCTGGGACCCCACCCCGCAGGGAGCCGCTGGTGTGCAGGCCACTGGCCCCTGGGCAGCTATCCTGCTTCTGGCAGGGACCTTCCCAGCCCAGGGACAGGGCTTGGGCTCAGAGAGGCACTTCCCAGGCCTGTCCAGGGCAGCTGAAAGCATGACAGGGACTATCCACCCCAGTGCGTCCTAGGCCCCGCACTGGGCCACCCTTCTTGCCCTCCCTTGCCCATGTTTCTTTCCTGTCAGCCATGTGGGCTCAGCAGGGTCATGGGAAAGGCAGCCCAGCCTCCATCTCCTCCCTGGGCAGCTCAGGGCTCACACAGGCCCAGGACCCTCAGGAGGTGCGGCTCCTGGCCCAGGGGCCCCGGCATGCAAGGGCTGCTGTGGGGTCAGTGTGTGGTCCATGTCCTAGCAAATGCTCTGGGGCCCGGGGGGCTGGCCAGGTCTCCCATACCCACCCTGTCACAGGGCGCCACTGCTCAGAGAGGCAGAAAGCCTCAGACCAGATAGACAACAGGCACCGAGAGGGGTCTCAAGGTGAACACGCCTGGGGACGGCACCACCCTGCATGCCACACCTCCCAGAACACCCTGCGACCCCACAGGGAAGGGGCTGGGCTGAGGCCCCAGACATGGGTGCCCCAGCGGCACATCCGACAAGAGCCCCATGCTCTGCCTCGGGGCACAGCTGCCGAGAAGGGAGCCTCAGTAGGGACGGCAGTGCCAGGTGCTGCTGGGCCGCTGGGGGGGTGCCCTGCGGGGTGGGGCTGGCTGTACTGGGGAGGGGGAAGCTGGGCTCCCCAAGGGCCCCTGCTGTGCTGGGACCCTCCCCAGTCTGGCAGTTGTGCCCGTGTGCTGGGGGCCTG